GACACAGAGACCAATGGACTGGGGCACAGCACCCAGAAACGAGCCACCACCCATATGGTGAACTGAGTATCAACAAAGGTGCCAGGACCACTCAACCTGGGGGAGGCACAGCCTTTCAGGAGACGGTGCTAGGCACACTGGCCACCCGCAAGCGGTAGACTGACGCTGGGCCCTCAGCTCACACTGCATGCACAAATGGACTCAAAATGGTCAAAAACCTGAATTTCAGGACTAAACTTTTTAAAAAAATTTTTTATAGTTTTTATTTATTTTTGACACAAAGAGACAGTGAGCGAGCGAGGGAGCATGAGCGGAGAAGGGGCAGAGAGAAAGGGGGAGACACAGCATCTGAAACAGGCTCCAGGCTCTGAGCTCCAGCACAGTCAAACCCACGAACTGCGAGATCACAACCTGAGTCGAAGTCGGACACTCAACTGATTGAGCCACCCATGTGCCCCAAAACTCTTAAACTCTTATTAAAAAACAAAAAACGGCACGGGGGGATGCTTCAGTGACACCAGGTTTGACTAGTATTTCTTGGATATGACACCAAAAACAGAGGCAGTAGGAACAAAATAAACATGCTGTTCTTAGTCAATGAAAAATTTTTGTGCATCAAAGTACACTGTCAGGAGAGTAAAAAGACAGAATGGGAGAAGACAGTCACAAATCCTATCCTGGCAAGGGCTTAATTCCCAGAACATACAAAGAAGTCCTGTAACAACAGCAAAACACGCCCAAACGGTGCCAGTCACAGGCGGGCAAAGGAGCTGCGCGGACATCTCCGCAAAGACGCATCGATGACCCGCAAGCTCACGACACGGTGCCCACGTCAGGAGTCTTCAGGGAAGAGCAAACCGAAACCACAAGCAGATACTCACGAAGGGGGCTTTTAGAAAAAGCGGGTGAGGCTAACAAAGGCGTGGTGAGGGTGGGAGGGGGCGAGAGCCCGTGTAAAGTGCTGGCACAGCCCTCACAAAAGCCAGTCTGGTGGCTCCTCCGAACGCTAAATACCCAGCACCTACGGCCCGGCAGCCCCGCTCCTGGGCAGCCGCCCAAGGAAGGGAAGGCAGGCGCTCGCACAGATGTTACATCGCAACGTTCATGGCAGCGGCAGCACCAGCACCAGTATCCAAAAGCCACAACCCAAGTGTCCGTCACAAGATGAACGGACAGAGTGTGGCCCAAGCGTACATGGGATGTGACTCGGCCATGAAAAGGGGTGAAGCACCGACAGACCATGACGCGCGTGGACGCTGACATCAGCGGGCGCAAGAAGCCAGACACTGTAGACTCCGTACATCCGATACCCAGGAGCAGGCAAATTCACAGAGACAAAACCGTAGCTTGGTCGGTGCCCAAGGCTGAGGGGGCAATGCCGAGTCATCCCTGAATGCTCACGGCTTCTGTCTGGAGTGAGGGAGAAGGTCTGGAAGTAGACAGTGGTGACGGCTGTAAGATACTGTGAATGCAATTAACGCCACTGAATCATACAGACAGAAATGGCAAATTTTGTTATATTTATCTTACCACGATCAAAAAAATTAATAATGTAATGTACCCAAAACCACTGCAATGTAACTTAAATAGGGGAACTGTACGCTGGGTGACTTACGCGACAAAGCTGTTGGACGGCGGATGAAGGGGCGGCCAGCGAACACGCAAAGGGCTCAGCATCACGAGCCGCTGGGAAAACGCCGCCACAGTGAGAAGCCACCTCCCGCCACCAGCAAGGCTGAAGTCACAGGACAGACAGGGACACGTGGTGGCAAGAACGTGACAGAATGAAGCCCGCATCCGCTCCTGGTGGGAACTGGACTGGCGTGGCCGCGTCAGAGGGTGAAGTCCACCCGCAGCCATCACGCGGCCCAGCCAGTCCCCCAGGGTGTCTGCCCGAGAGACACGAGAGCCTCTGCGCACCTGTTCGCAGCAGGATGTCCGCCCCGATCACTGGATGCCACAACACCGTCCCCAAGCTCAGTGGAGCAGCTTTCAGCCATGAGAACACAGGTCTAGCCCCCAACGTGATGACCCTCAAAACCATGTTACAAGAGGAGCACCTGGGGGGCGCGGTCGGTTGAGCATCTGACTCTTAGTTTCAGCTCAGTCATGGTCCCAGGGCCATGGGGTTGAGCCCCACATCGGGCTCTGCGCTGACAGCAGGGAGCTTTCTTGGGATTCTCTCTCCCCCCATCTCCTCCCTCTCTGTATCCCTTCTCCACTCACTCCCTCTCTTTCAAAATAAATAAATATTTTAAAAAAGTTTAAAAACAAAACCAAATACGGTGAAAGAAAGAAGTGGGGGGCACATGGGTGGCTCAGTCAGGTAAGCATGAGGTGAGGATCCCAGGGTCGTGAGATGGAGCCCAAGTTGGGCTCCGTGCTGAGCAAGGGACCTGCTTGAGATTCTCTCTCTTCCTCTCTCTCTCCCCTTCTTGTGCTCTCTCTCTAAAACAAATGGGTGGGGGGCTAGACAACAAAGTCTACGTGCAGGATTTCAATACATGGAATGCCCGGGGGGGACTGACTGCGGACAGCACGGGGGCTGCTGGCGTGACGGACAAGTGCGTCCTCAGCCTGGATTCCGGCAAGCAGGGTCATGCATTTGCGGTGGGTGAACCGGGTGGTATGCGCACTGGGCCTCACCGAAGCTGGGCTTAAACATTTTTTTAATGTTGTTTTTGAAGGAGAGGGGTGGGGGCAGCGAGAGAGGGAGACACAGAATCCAAAGCAGGCTCTGAGCTGTCAGCACAGAAACCTGGGCTTTTTAAAACTGGCGGCACCAGGGGTGCCTGGGTGGCTTAGTCGGTTAAGCGTCCGACTTTCGCTTGGGTCATGATCTCGCGGTTCGTGGGTTCGAGCCCCGCGTCGGGCCCTGTGCTGCCTGCCAGCTCAGAGCCTGGAGCCTGTTTCAGAGTCTGTGACTCCCTCTCTCTCTGACCCTCCCCTGCTCACGCTGTGTCTGTCTCTCTCCTAGAAATAAATAAAAAAAAAAAACTGGCGGCACCAAGCAGACGGGAGAGGAGGGGTCTCACAGGCGGTGTGGGGGGACAGGACCCCCGCACGGAAGGAGACCACGTGAGATCCTACCTCATAGCACAGCCAACTGAACATCAGCTGCTCTTGCCCAAGGCCTGCTCAGAAGGGGGCAGCTGAAGCCTTAATCGCCACAGTCCCCCAGACCCTGAGGACCCTCATTAGCCCAATCTTACTGAACAGGTTAAACCGAGGCCCTGAAGGGTGAAGCAGCTTGTGGGGGCGGGGACCTGGGGGAAGGGGGGCCTCCCCCTCCAGGGCCTGAGTCCCTGCCCCAGGGCCTCCCTCAGGCCTCCCACACTCGGGCCTCAAAGCGGCACTAAGGAGGAGGGGCCCTGTGGCCCTGGGAGTGGGGAGGTCCCGGAACAGGAGGGCAGGGGGAGGGTGGAAGAATGTCCCATACGCACCAGATTTCAGCCTAAGCAATGACACCCTGACCCCCCGCAAAGTCACAAGCTGATAGCCGCGCAAACTCAGCGTGTGACTCTGCAGCCAGAGAACACGAAAGCCTCTGTGAGGCAGTGTGAATCGGGGGGGGGGGGGCGCGTGGAGGGGGGGTCCCCAGCAGCTCGGCTGGGCCCCACGCAGGCCGGGCTCTGCTGCACACACACGCGTGACCCAGGGAGGGGACAAGCGGGGCTCAGATGGCGCCAGGTCGAGTGGCTGCGGGGCGCCCACCCCTGGGACTGCGGAGAGACAGCCGCTCTGACACCATGTCGTCCGGCCAGTGCGTCCTGAGCGCAGGTCAGGGGACAGGCCAAGGGCCGGGTGTGCGGGCGGGGGAGGGGATCATGAAGGCCCACCTCTGGGCTGCCGGGTGTGGCCCCTGAAAAGGGAAGGGAGCAGAGATTTACTCCTGGCCTAAATTATTCACAAGAAAAGGGAGCGCGCCTCTTTAACAAGCCATGGCTTTATGAAGCAAGGTTAACAATTTCACTTGATTCAGTGGAATATTATAAACTCTCTGGGGCCCATTTGAGGACTTGTACTTCAGGCACAAGGCGACGACTCAGCACTTTTTATATTATTTAGAGAATAAAATTAACCCTCACCGGCCCAGGCTGCTGCCTCTCCTCCCGCCGGATCCGGCCTGCTCAGCGCTTTCCCCCATATATAATTACAAGCTGCTATCCATCATGTAGCAGCCACACAGCGCCGACACGCCGAAAGGGACGCAGTAAGCACTTCCACTAATAGAAGCAGAACTTAAATATCACTTTGATATTTTCATTTAAATTGGAATATCTTACAATAATCACGCACAGCCTCCGTGGGGTCCTGCCGCCGCACCCCAGCCCACCTGGCCCTGGTCTGAGCCGCTCCCAGCGGGGCCTCTCCGCCAAGGCTCTGAGGTGACCTGCCAGCTGTGGGGGGTCAGGTCCCCAGGTCTGCCAGCCGGGCCGGCCTGGGCCCCGGCCTTGAGGCAGGAGGGAGAGGACGCAGGGAAGGAAGGGGCACGGCCGTGTGCTCCCTTTGCCCCGCCCACCCTGCTGCCCTGCCCGCTGGGGGTCCCTGGGAAGCCCCAGCTCCGGTCCCCCCAGTCCAGACTACAGGTCCCAGTGCTGGCCAGGAGGCTCCCTCTTGGGGGACCAGGGCCTGAAGAGACCTGTCCTGGGGTTCCCGGCCCAGGGCACTGCTGCCGCGGCAGGCCCACGCCACAGGCACAAGCAGGGGCCACAGAGCAACCCCCCCCCCGGAGAGCGGGCCGGAGCTGGGGTGCTCAGCTGCCGGGAAGCCCCAGCGCAGCGGCCTCTCACCCACAGGTGAGGGCAGCAGGCGGCGGCAACGTGCCCGCGAGCAGCTGGCTAAGTAGTCGCCAGTCGGCAGGTGTTCCTTGTGACCCCATCCCCTGATTCCCCCCACACCACCCTGGGCTTACGTAAACTCCAGGAAAGGCACTGAGGAGCATGGCTGGCCCACCTCTGGGGGCTGGGGACTGCCCACCACCCACCCGTGCCCCTCACCTTCGCGCCCAGTGGGCAGTAGCCTTTGAGAAAGTCCGTGCAGACCTCCGCCTTCCGGGACACGTAGACGTGGCTGTACGGACAGTTGCTGTTGCTGCAAATCCCCTTCAGAAAGTACGAGCACACGGGCATCTGTGGGGGCGAAGGCGTGGGGGGTGAGGACCCGCAGGCCCCATCTGCTGGGTACGACCACAGCCCCTGTCCAGCACCCCCCTCCGTCAGGTACCTGCCCCTGTCTACAGGTAAGGCAGCTGAGCCTGAAGGACCCCTTGGGGCTCCACGGCCAGGCATGAGCTGTGCGGGGACTGTGGCCAGAGACCCACACCCTCAAGGGAGAAACGGACATGCAGTGCTGGCCAGCGCCTGAGGCCCTGCCGGGGTGGGGGTGGGGGCTGCCAACCCCAAAGGCAGACAGACCCCTGGCTTCCCCAGGAGGCAAGGCCACCCAGGCAGCATACGGTGAAGACATCCAGGCAGGGCTGGCCCCGGATGTGCTGTCACCTGAGCCCATCACCTGCTCTGAGATGGGCCCAGGTTCCAGGTAGCGGGGTGCAGTGGGATAGGCCAAGAGGGGTTGGTGTCCAAAAGACCAGGGGCTGGAGGGTAAGGGGGACACAGCACGGGGACTCCAGCTACAGCAATGGCCTACAGGGCCTGGAAGCTCAGATTTCCCAGTTGCCTGGGCACCTGGTGGCGTCTGTGGGCTGCAGGCCTGGCCGCACCCAGGGAAGCCCGGGGATGGGCTCCAGGGAGGCAGGCAGGTGCCCTGGAGCAGCCTGGGCTGTGCTGACCTCAGGCTGGCGCTGTGCAGGCCTGGCTCCAGCAGCAGGTGGGCCCAGGGGGGACCCGGGGCGGGAGCGGGGCATGGAGCAGGCCAAATGGGCATAGCTGTATAGCCCAGCAGTCCCTGGCCCCCAGGCTGGGAGGGAGAGAGGCAGCCCACTTTCTCCGGGGCCCCTCCGGGGGCAACCTGCTGGGCTGTCTGGTCACCCGCTGGGGGTCGCCCCCCTCGCCAGGCCTGCTGGCCCTGGCGGGGGTGGGGGGCTCTCTCTGGGAGCTCTCCTCTCGTCTGTCAGACCCGCCCCACACGAACCCCACCGCAGCCCCCAGCGGGTCTCCACCTCGGCACAGAGCTCCGGCCAGCCTGCCAGGGGCGCCACACGGGAGCCTCGGTCAGGGCAGAGGGGAGGCCAGCGAGGGAATGAGGGAGAAAGCGAAGAAACAAAGGGTGATTTAACGTGCAAGAGTTTATTTTTAATTGTCTTTTAACTGCAGCACACGGGGGAGAAGGGCCGGCCCGTTCGGGGCTGGCAGTGGTGCGGCTGCAGACAATTCCCTTAATGTGGCTTTTGATATAGAGCCCAAATTAGCTCTAATAAAAAGGGATAATAAAGCCAACTCTTACAGCAAACGGAGCCCCTCCTAGCTGTCAGCACGGCCGTTACCGAGAGGAAGCTGCATCCTCATTTCAATTAACCTTGTTTGCACCCGCCACGTCCACACAAATAACAATAACATTAATTCAGGGCGCCAGCGCGGGCGCCCACATCAGACAGCTCAGAACGCGCACCAGCTTCGGAGCCGGAGCTAATGAACCTGAAACTCGACGTGAATTTCCAAATTGCTCACAACAGAGTTTCAAAGCTCTATTAGGGAGAAAAATGCTGATTCTCTCCAAGTTCCTCAAGAGGAAAAGCTGTTGTAGCGGCAGCAGCCTCCACCCGACCCTGCCTCCCCTAACCCCGCCGTGGCCCCAGAGCAGGGGGCCGTGTGGGGGGGTCCCCCGTGCTTGACAAGGCCGAGGCCCAGCAGCGCACCCTCCTGCCCTCCTGGGCCCTTCCGGCACAGCCCGCCTCAGCCTGCTGCCTGGCGCCCACCCTGGGGCCGGACCCCAGCCTGGAGGCCGCAGCTCCTGGGCCCGTGGCAGGGGTGGCCACACAGCCGGCTCCGGAGCCGAGAACCGCCACGTAGTGCCCGCGGGGGAGGGGGAGGCTCACCTTCTCCTTGGACACGTGGTGGGAGAAGGGGCACGTCCCGTCTGTCTTCTTGCACGTGCCCCGGAGAAACCTGTGCGGATGCAGAGTACAGGCTCAGAGGGGCAGGCGCGGCCGGGGCAGGGACCCCTGCGCCCCCACGGCCCCCGCCCCAGAGGCCCACCTGGTGCACACGGCCACCTTGTCGGGGTCGTGGATGTAGGGGCAGCGCTCGCCACGGTTACATCTGCCGAAGCGGTTGTAGTACATGCAGTACTCCTGCTGCTTCCGCCGCCGCTGCCTCGCCTGCCGGACGACGGCCAAGCTTCGCTGCACGGCCCGGCTGTGGGCAGGGGCGGCGGTGCGTGAGCCCCCGGGGGCCCTCGCCCCCGCCCTGTGAGCCCCATAAAACCCCAAGGGACGTACCTGGCCAGGGAGCGGCTGCAGCTGCTGGGAGGGTCCACCCGGCCTGTGGGGAACAAGGTGGGGTCACCCAGGCCCGCGGGCCCCCCCCTCTCCCGCCCCCCACTGGCCTGCGGGATGCAGCGCCCCCCCCCCGGCCCGCTCTCGGCGCAGGCACTGCTGACCCCCAACGGACACTGCCTGCCCCTCAGGACACTGTGGGACCGACACCCACGCCGTGCAGGGGAGCAGCCTGTACAGGGACCAGATCTGGCAGCACAGCTCTAGGCTGCTGGCCTGCGGCCTCGCCTCAAGGCACGTGGTCCCAGGAAAGCCTAGGTGCGGGGCGCCTCCCTGCCATCTTCCTCTGCCTGGAGCAGGGCCCGGGGATAGGGGACCTGAGTGGGGTCCAGGAACGCCGCCTGGCCACTAATGATTTTTATGTATTTAAAGGGTTAAATAAAAATATACTGGTCAGTATGGGGCCACAAAGCCTGACGTCCTCACTCCCAGGGTGTGGCGATCCGGGCCTACACAGGCCAAGCACATCTGGCCCACGAGGGCCACGGCGGGGGCCTACTCCCCAAAACCATAAGCACAAAGACCAATCAAGTCCTCCCTGAGGTCATGGACTATGGTCCAAAGGGGAGCTGGCTCATGAAGTAAACAGTGGTGATGAGAAAGGAGCAGGTGACGGTGCTCACAACCAGGGTGGCAGGGGACGAGGGGCAGGAGTGCAGACTAACACACGGCCCCCTGCTTCCCTTTCGGGGACAAGGTCCCCACCCGCCCGGCCCACGACCGCTCAGATGTCCCTCAAACACACATATGAGCCTTCCCAGACCAGATTCCATTTCCCACAGGCAGCTGCTGAAACGGATCCGGTGGTGAGAGGCAGAAGTGACATCACTCAGAAATTCTAGGGACCTGAGGCAGTGACAAAGCATTCCAGGCTTAAAAAGGGATGTCCCCAAGCTGCCTGGCCCTGAGCCACCTCATCAGAGGTGCAGGGGAGGCCTGGGCATGTGGCCCTCAGCCACCCGGAAGGCCTTCCCTGGGCCTCCCCGGACGACTCGCGCCAGGACCCGCTCAGCTCAGTCGTCTCCCGAGTTCCAGACCTGGTCACACAACCATTCTGACACCATGTGCAGCCCCCAGGCTGAACTGCCAGGCACCCCCTTCCACATCCAGCCTGCTGCCAAGCCCTAACTGCTCCGCCGACATGCCACGCGGGCACTCCACGTGGACACACCATGCACCCTCTCCGTGCCGCTGTCCCCTGGCCAGTGTCAGCCCCTCTCTGAGCCTCCGTCTCCTCAAGCTGGAGAGGTGTGGCTCTGGGGCTGAGCAGTGAGACCCCTGATGAGAAGAAGTGCTGTGCACGGAGGCCCATGTGGCTGGCAGAGATAGGAGTGGGGTGGAGAGGAGCTGGGCAGCCCCAGGCCACAACGGAGTCCTGGTTCCCAGCTGGGGACACCAATCCTAGGGTACACACTAGAGGCCGGTCCAGGTGGCACGTGGTCCCCTTACACCTGCCAGCCACAGAGACGACGCAGTGCAATCTGATAGCTGCTGGTGAGCGTGGCTTCCCGGGCTGTCACCCAGGCTGCCGGTGCCGCTGTGGCGCCATCTGCTCCTGCCAGGGACCACTGTCAACATGTGTCCGCCTGTCAGGCCTGGTGTCTGAGGGAGCAGGGAGGGGCAGGGACAGGTTTACTCCCCTCCCCGCGGTTTGCTCTTTAAAAAAATGCCAGTGTGGGGCTCACAGTGGGAGGCACGTTCAAACCCTGAGCAGCGCTAAAACATGCACATAAAGTAGCTGCTGGGAAAGGGGCCGCGAGGTGCCGAGCGCGCGACACAGTTCAGCTGAAAACCCTCGGCAGCCCAGCAGCCGTGGAGCAAGCGGCGCCTAGCCTTCCCGAGAGCTCGTGCTGCCCCAGGATCTTCCCAAAATAGACCTGGCGAGCTCCGCCGGGCGGCCCCGCCAGGCCCCGCCCCGCCCCGCCCTCCAGGCCCCGCCCCCTCGCCAGGCCCCGCCCCGCCCTCCAGGCCCCGCCTCCTCGCCAGGCCCCGCCCCACCCCGCCAGGCAGCGCCTCACCCTTCAAGGGCCGGGGAGCCGGAGCGGGGCGTGAGCGGGAGGTTCTGGGGTGCGAGGGAGCCGCTGCACTGCACAGCCTGCTTCCGCAGCCCCACGGCGCCCTGGCCGTTCCGGGAAATCACGGCCCTCGGCAGAGGGAGCCCCAGCAAGAGGCATCTGGAAGGGACGCAGGCAACAGGGTGGGGCCTTGGGAGCGTGGCTCCCGCCCTCTCTTGCGCCCTCTGGTGTCACTCTGTGTGACTTCTCAGCACACAGGGCGGGGTCAGCAGGTCAAGGATGACGGGATGACCTGCCCAGGGCTATGCGGTGGCCGAAGAGGGGCAGGGAGCCTACCACAAGTCGGCCTCACTCTCACTCGGGCTGCCGCGGGCCGGCCCCGCAGCCTAGGCTGGTGAGGTGGCTCCGGCAGACACCCTCGGGGCTTCTGCTCCACGGCAGGGCCCAGCAGGCTCCTGGGTCCGAGACATATGCCAGGCTTGGCAGGGCACGAGCCACAGCGAACGGCCCGGTGCGCCCAGGTCCCGGGGCTGGGTCCTTCCGGTGGGGTGGGCAGGCCTGAGACCCGGGAGGGAAGTCCATGGTCACCAGGTTCAGGAGGAGGAGGGTGCCCTCCACCTTCCACATGGCTCGGGGACCCCAACCAGGGGCCAGGACTGTCCCAGAGAGGCCCAGCAGCCGGGAGAAGCCAGAGTCAGGAGGGGAGGAGGGCTCTACTTTTCTGCCGAAGTCAGAATTCTGCTGACAGGAAAGGAGAGAATTTATTTCTTTAATTATTATTCGTCTAAGCAGGCTGCTGGCCAGTGGGCACTCCTGAGGCAGCCTACCTTCCCCACGTTAAGGGGTCGGGGGGCCTGGCAGCCAGAGGTGGCGGGGGGGGGGTCCTTGGTGGGCTCTGGCGTCAGCTCTGCCTCACACCTGGGACAAGCAACCCAAAAAGGTCTGCGTTCCAAATTCCACCTCCTGCCCCTCCTGGGACCCGCCTATGCCTGGAGGCTTCTGTTCTCTCCTCATGGCCTGAGGCCAGGAGGCCAGGACCCTGGGTGCGGCGCAGCGCAGCGGGGCTATAACTCCTTTGCACTCTGCGTCCCGGGGAGAGTGGGCGCCGTGCGGGACAGCACCTGCAGGGGAGTGGGCTTGGCAAGGCGTCCTCCACAGCCAGCTGTCTGCTCAGGCGTGGTGCAGCCTATGCCAGGGAGGGGGGAGTGCCCCGCAGCCCCTTCCACCACCCCAAGGTGGCAATGGCAGTGGCCCAGGGTCTGCCAGGAGCTCTGGCTCCCCTCTTTGTTCCCTCCCTCAAGCAGCGGACATGTGGTTCAGATCCGCCTCTTCCTCTCCACCTCCAGGTGCCTCTCCTCCCACCCTGAGGGGCCCCACCCCAAAGGCCCATCCAGCCCACCTGAGGTCAGGGTCCACGTGGAACGGCCCACACGCAGCCTCAGGCACATGGGCAATAGGGTCCCGGCGAGGGCCATAGTGGCCCAAAACCACAATCCACATCTGGGTCCCTGCTGTGGACAGTATGAATGCCAGGACGGCCAATGATATGTGGCCAGGCCGGGGAGGGGTCCCTCATGCCTGGTGTGAACAAGCAGGCCCCGCCATCGCCGGGCTGACAGGAGGTGGGGGTGCGGAGGAAGCATCAGCAGAACAGGCCCCATCGCTCAGGACCAGCCAGGAAATCACTCTGCGGAGGGGCTGCCCAGCAGCGCTCTGTGGCTCCGTCCATCCCACACAGCAGCCTGGCTAGCAACAGCCCTGGGAAGGACCGACAGCTGCCTGTAGGACCTCACAGACCACAAGCACGGATGCCAGGGGCCGGCCGGGAGAGGAGGGGGGCTGTCCGCTCACCCTCAGTGGCATGCCCTGGGGCCCGAGTCCCCGACAGGAGGCCCAGCCAATGCTCTGTACCTGCTCCTCCACTGAGTGAGCGGAGGCCAAGGTGGAAAGGCCCTCAGATCACAGAGCCCAATCCCTTGAGAAAGGAATGGGGAAACCGAGGCACAGAGACCTGGCCTTCGGGCCCCCAGTGCCTCTCTTGGGCAGCCCAGTGCACCTCGCCTGGAAGAAGGCAGCTGGGCACCCATGCCTCACACCCCCTTGCTCCCCCGTACTGGTTCCTGGGGACACAGCCAGGCAGGGCTTCTGGGAAGGGCCCCCAACCTGCAGCTGGCCCCAGGGCCCGCCTCGCCTGGGGCCGGGCCTCTTGTGGGGGCCAGGGCGGGCGCTGGGAGCAGCTGGGTCTCTGCACGCCCTCCCCTGCCTGTAGCCTCACCCTTTTTTTCTTGACAGAAAAGGATGGGGGTAAATTGGACTGAAACCAAAATATTTTCTAGTTAATTTATATAATAAGCGAATCCAAAGCATTTCCTTCTCCTCGGCCTGTTTCCCCAGGCCGCAGGGGCGGGCGTGGTGGCGGCGGCTGCCTCCAGACACAGCGGGGAGGCATTGCCAATGAGATTACGGGGCGCCGCGGCCCCAGGTGCTCGCCCGCCAGGGCCGTGTTCACCATACCTGGCTCATCTCCTTTGTCCAGGAGCAAAACGTGGAAAATCAGGGCCCACTCGGCCAAGCAAGAGGCAGCGCACGCGGGGGCTCTCCCCAGGGGCCGCGGGGGCTGCCAGGCCTCCCTACCCGTACCCAGGCTGCCCTGGCTACAGGGACGCTGCAAGCACTGAAGGGTAAGAAGAATTCTGGGCCTGGGAGGTGGTGCATTTGGGAAGCACTCACACGGATGGGCTCCCTGGGGGCAGCAGGCCCGCTGGCCTCTGGTCCCAGGCGAGCGGCAGCGGCCGCCCACGATGGACCACGCGTGGTAGGGCTGCGGGAGCCGGGCCCAAAGGCTGCCCAGCCCCCACCTCTGAGGAGCCTCACCTGTGCGCACGAGGGGCCTGGTGGCGCCGTCGCCGCCAGGCCGGCCGGAGGTCTTAGAGAGCTTGTTGGCCGACACCCTGTAAAGGACGCCTCCGATGCAGCAGTAGCCTCTGTTCCGCCACCGAGGGGGGCTGGGCTGTGCTCTCCCACCCCCGGCTGCGGGGCGCAGGCGATTCAGCACCAGAGACCTGCAGAGACAGAGAAATGCCCGGTCAGTCCAGCCCCACGTGCCTGTAGTCTGTCACCCACCCTCCCTGACCCCAGTAGCCAGGCGGGAAGGGCACAGGTAGGGGACAAGTCTCCCCCTCCAACATGTACACCGCTGGACGTGACTGTCCAGGCCCTGGCTTTCTGACAGGGTCTCTTGAGGGAGTTCTACCACAAGGGAAGGCTCCTGGGGTCCACACCAAGGCTGGTGGCCGTCACCACTGCCCGGGAACATCTTCCCCCAGATGCTGCTGCAGCGCACGCCACCCTGGCCTTCGGGACAGCAGATGCCCGGGGGTCAGCGGGCTCCAGCTAGTGCTGCCCCTCCCGTCTGTCCACCACGGGAGAGCCCTCCCGTCCAGCATCGAGACCCTCACAGACCCACCAAGCAGGCAGGCTGTTTGGGGGAAAGACTGGAGATGCGGGACGGGGTCTAGACAGCCTGGGGGACTCACCGAGAGCGGGCAGGGAAGGCAGACCTGGGCCTGGATGGCGCTGGTGGCCGCCAGCCCACTCCCTCCCTCCAAACTCTCTTCCCACAGGGTGCTGGGTCCTGGGCCCTGTCCTGCCAGACACCGGCACCCCCCGGGGAAGCCAAGGGCAGAGTGGGCTGGGAGGAGGCCCTGGACGCCCCCACTTAGAGAGACACCCCCCTGCAGACGCCACAGCCGCGGTGGGCAGCAGCCAGGGGCCCCCAGGCTGTTCTGGCCCACATGCTCCCCCCCACCCTAGGTGTCACGCAGGCGGGCTGCCACCCAAGTGAGGGGAGGAGGGCCTCCCCCCCAGCCCCCGCACGGAGACTGGCCAGCTTCATGACTCCAGAAGGGCGTGGGGCCTTTCCCCCTCAGGACACATTTCAGCAGCAATTTGTTTATGCAAATTGACCTTAATTCCATATTAGCTCAGACTCTGCTCATAATGTTATTACCACCGAGCATCCGCACTGCGCCCCGCTGGCAAATCTGGGGCTGTGAGTGCCGGCGCCCCCGGCAGCAGGACAGGGCGTGAGGACAGTCCCCGCTGCGGACGCCACCACCAGCAGCGGGCACCTGGCACCTTCCCTTGGGGTTCTCCAATGTCCTCACGCCGCTCACCCCATGGCCCCGCAGCCCACTTTCTGGTGAGGGCAGGGCAGGCCTTGGGGGCTCCGAGCTCGTGGGCGGGCGGAGGGGACGGCGGCACCAAGGCCAGGGCCTGAGCAGCTCTGCTCTCGGGCACGGATGCCACCCTCACCACATGGCCCCACGGCTCCCTGGGTCTCTCTGCAACTTGGGGTGATTCTTGCCAGTGCAAAGCCTCTGAGGACACGTGAGACGAATGCTGTGTGCAAGCGAGCTGAGCTCAGGACACCCACAGCCTCCGTGTAAGGCCAGGCCCAGCAGGGAGCGCCGAGGACACCACAGCCTGATGGCACTTAACCCAGTTTCCCTTAATTAAAATTCAAGCTCACAGACATCAATCTTGGGAAAAAGTCCTGCCAAGGGACCCTGGCCGGCCTGGCTCGTGCCGTGCGTGCCCTCCAGGCCCAGCCATCCCTGCACAGGGCACATCTCGGCAGGAAGAGGGCACAGAGGGTGGGTGTCCTGTGGAGGAGCAGACAGACCTCCAGGCTTTCCTCAGACCCTGGCCCAGCCCTACCCCCCTGGTCTCGACGTGTCCAGTGAGCACCTGCCTTGTCCCCCTGGCTGGCTCCGAGGCCGGGCCGAGGCATGATGCGGGTGAGGCCGGGCAGGGGTGTCCTGTGAGCTCGGAGGCGGCTCTGGACCCTCCGCAGGCGCTGTTGTGTTCGTTGTCCATGGGGCACAGCTTGGCCCGAGCCCTAACCCCACCACTGAGGGCAAGTGGCCACCACAGGGGGCTCAGCTGGAGGCCAATGCGCCTCCCGACAGCCCTGGCTCCCAGCCCCACGGTGCCCCGAATCCTCAGCGGTCTCACCACCGACAAGGCAGCTGCCCTTTCAGATGCCCACTTGGGCGAGGGGCAGCTGGGAGCCTCCACTCTGCAGCGCTGGAGGGTGAGTGCGCCGGCAGGAAGCCCAGCCCGTGCCCGCGGCACACTCATCCCTCAGGGCCAGGCCCCAGACGGCCCAGCGGGCGCTGCGGCGAGGTAGCGCAGCTGCGGCTACAGGAATAAGGACACCGCTCTCAGCTGCCTCCTCCCTGGGGGCACAGACCCTCCTCTCCTGCGCCGCCACCCTACCCACACCCCATCCACACCACAGGATGCCACAACACATGAGGGTCATGTGGGCAAGCAGACGTGCACCCCACCTCCCTACCTGGGCCCAGCATCTCAGGACCACCCCCCCACCTCCCGCCGGATGCCCCAGAAACCCAGCCCTTTGAAAGGTGAGGAAGCTCACCTGAGGGCATGTGTCCCTGGCCGAGGCCAGACAGGGACAGCCAACCACTCCTCGGGGCAGCCACACAGGTGAAGCAACAGAAAGAAGTGGCCAGGCCCAGACCTGCAGAGGTGGAGGCTGGCAGGCTCTCGGTTCAGAAGAACCAAGAAGCTTCAGGATAAGACTGTGTTCCGGCCCTGAGGGTGGGCCCATCCAGGCCCATCCCACAGCTCTGTGCGCAGAAGAGCCTCAGACTGGGGATTAACAGCTCCCCCTGAGAGCAGGGCCCAGGGATGCCCTCCTGGGTCCCTGGCGAGGCAGTAGGTAGGGCCAGACCCACACAACACCTTCCTTGGGAGAAGAGCTTCTCATGGTTTGTTTTCTTGGCTAGAAGGCAGATCTCACACGCTGCCGATTCTTCCCACACTCTCCCGGACCAACGTGACTGAGAGAGCTGTCCCCTCCCCCCCCAAAACCCCCTGCCCCTGGGTCTGAATGGCAACTACAGGACTGTCATGGGCCACCTGGGTGGGGGCGGGGGGGTGGTCCGGCAGCTCTTGCCTTACGCCCTGGCTCAGTGTGGATGGTCTACGGACAGCCGGGCGCATGGCCCGGGGTTCAGTCCCGGGGCCCGCAGTCTCCAGGGGCACAGGCAGGGGCCCCATGGTGCCCCAGGGCTGTTGGGAGGAGGTGGACGCAGCCACAGGACCCGGGGAGGGCTGGCCTGGGCTACGAAGGACCCACCTGCCTGCACACAGTGCGCCCAGCCCGCAGCTGCACGGGACCCCCTCGGCCCTTCCCTCACCCCTGCTGGCTGCACTCGCTGACTTGGGACCTGTGGCCAGGCAGGCACCAGGTGGGCAGGGGGCTGCCACGTAGCTTTTCAGTGCCGTGGGTGTCACGGCTCTCCAGTAAATTGTTACCCTAATGGAGAGGACAGCCTTTGGAAACCAAGTGTATTGAGAAGAGGGATAAAATTAATGAGATAATAGCGGGGCCAAGGACCCGGAGAACGCGCCTGCCCTCACGGCAAGGGCCCTGTAATTCCTTTTCTACAACAGGAGCCTCAGATCTAAAGGCTTCTCCCATCCGTCCGGCAGGCCCACGCCGCCAGGAAATTTCATTAACGCTGGAAAATAGGAAAGGTATTAAGCGTGGATAATGAAGGCCAGGGAGGGAACCGTGCCTTAAGATAGTCCTCTTTCTCGCCTTTGTAATGGGAGGCATGAACTTTCCCTTCAAATCCATTTCTAATCCATTTGAAATACTACAGCAAATTATCTTTCCTTCAGCCCGAAAGCGGCCAGCCAATTTACTCCGAATAGAAGTGACAATGCCCCAGGATTTATCACCATAACCTTGACTACACCAGGGTGAGGGCTGGGCCCCCTCGCCCCCCCGGGGGGGCACGGAAGAACGGGTGGGGGGAGATAACATTTTAAATGAAAAGCAGTGGTAATGGGGAGACAGACACACACACCACAAAAGTAGGTTTGAAAAGAAAAGCTGTCCACGTGTCTGCTGCCTGGGGAGCAGCGGGCAAGTTCCAGCCTGGGGCCGCGGAGGCCAGCAAGGTGCTCGGCCAGGGGTGGGGGCGCCCAAGAGGAGAGGACATCAGGGTCCGGGCAAGCCTGAGGGACGCTCTCCGCACCGTGCTCCCTGCTCGCCCAGTGTGCCGGCCCCGGACACCCCCACCCCTACCCTCCGGGCTCCTCCTGTGCCCACTGTCCACAGCAGGCGCACGCAGGCCCCAGCACTGTGCATGCGGTGCCCGTCAGCTGGCTCTGCTGAGATGCGCCCCCTCACGGCGTCGGCGGGGGCACAGCCCAGCGCACACGTGACGAGGGACAGGCAAACAGGCTCCCAGCGCGTGCGCACAAGCGCCCTCCCGAGGCCCCACAGTGGGCGCTCCGCTCAGGGCACACCCAGGCCCGAGGACGCATCGTGAAGGCCAGAGCGCAGTCCCCTCCTGACCAGGGGCTGACTTGGGTGCAAGCGGATGAAGGGCAGGGGAGGTGGTCCCAACCTCTGAGAAGGCCTGGGCAGGGCAGGGTCCAAAGTAGGGGCCGCCTCACCAGGCCCGACAGCACCTTCAAACAAATGCCGCCTCAGGCTTCCCCACTCAGCCCCCACTCAGGCCTCCGGCAGTCGTCAGGTTTTCCCCAGGGAAAGTGCACACCACAGCCCACATGGGCCCCAGACTCGGGGACAGGGTCAGGCCAAGGAGTCACACAAAGGCTGGGTGCAGATCTGTGTGCAGAACCAGAGGCCTGGATGGAAAGTCACCGGTGGGAACTTGGTGGCCACTGGTGGTGGGGAACACTGTCAGACACACGGAGGGGGTTTAGCTGGTGGGTTCTTCCCAACTCCCTCAGCGAGGGCTCCTGGGGTCAGGAAGGCCCCACAGCCTGCTCCCCACCGTCCACACAGACCCCTTCCCTCCCTGGGGACCCTCACCCAGCCAGTGACCACCGTCACCGAGGGACCCTGCCTCACCTGAGCCGACCCCTCTCTCGCCCCCAGATGCAGGCTGGGTCCCCACCCCTACTTACAGCTCCCTGGTGGGGCCCCTGTACCCCATGCCCCCAGCTGTTTTGAAAACAGCATGTTTGATCAAGTTCTGTCCCTACTCCACTAGCC